CATCTCTCTCCCACCTCCCTTCAAAGATCAATCGACAATACTGTAGTATGACTTTCTTAGGCCCAGCTAAATCTCGATTTAGATAAAGGGGTTTGAGGTGGGGAGGGGGGGGGGTGTTGCTTCGATCCCGACTACCAGGGCCAAGTCGAGTTTAAATGTGATACTGTCTTTAAGAAGACAGACATTCAAAAAATTAGTTCCCCTCCTCAGAACTGAGCTCATATCTTCTGTGAGCAGCGGGGGGGAAAATTCAATTCAGCTTTTACACAAAAGATGCAAGTCCACTGTGCAGATTTCGGTGGATATAATATTAGGGTGAAAAGAGATGAATAAATGCCTGTAGCAGCTATACCGTTCCCTTCTGAAGGTGTCTAAAGGGCTGAAATAAAGGCCCATAGGGTTGGAAAGGAAAAACGTCTTTGATAGTTTCATGAGATCCAAGATTTCCCTTCTCTGAAAAAAATGAGTTAATTGAGTGTGGAGCCCTGAAAATTACCCAATAACCAAATCGAAAGAGCGAATCGTTGGGGATAAGAATCAGGGCCACCCAAACCACAGTCCAACACGGTACCGATTGTGACTTCAGGTAGAATATCTTTGTGCCAGAAAAGGTGGTCTACTTTGCAATCTTTTAAGTCACATTAATTATTCAGGTTCACCTTTGCAGGAAATAGATGCGTTAAGTATCTGTGTCTCAATATTTCGTTGGTTTCTTTTTTTGGAGGGGTGGAAGGGGGGGAGATGTTTTTTGTTTATTTGTCGCTGCGCTGGGTTTCTTCGTAGGGTGAGTGTGGGGAGAGGGGGTTGTGACCAGTAATACCAGCACAGACAGGATTTCTTTCAAAAGAGACTTTCTTTAACAATGTACAGATGTCTCTTTTGGACTAAAGATCTTATCTTCCAGTTTGACTTGTCTTTTTCGTGCTATCTACACGACTGTCCGTATGAGGAACCGCGGGTGTTTTGTGAGTTTGTGTAGTGTCGAAGCCAGAGTCTCCCCCACTGCTCGTTTCTTCTAAATCCACCAACTTCAAGTCTCCGTTGTGAGACCACGAATTTCTGTTTCGCAGTTCTTTCTTGACTTGATTTTTTATTTTCAAATTCCGAGGCAATATCTTTGTCCCCAGGGGTGACGTCAAAGGGGGAATGGTCTGCTCCACTCCAAGGAGGGATTCCGATGCAGTGTGGGGTGAACAATGATACATGAGGGAGTAGAGACTCCTTCTGGCTGGCTGCTCATCCTCGTCTTCCGAGCTGGGTGAGACACTGTCTGCTTCTCCCGGAGTACAAACGACATTATTATCGATTCTGTTCTCTTTGCCATCACAGTTCATCCCTCCAGGCTTGGCCTCGTTCACCAACACGTGCCGCGCCACTCCTGGCCTCTGAATCGCCGGGGATCTGTTTGTGTCCGTAAGAACTTTGGAAATGTTTACATTACTCGAGATACCAGGGGTAGACGGACCAGCTTGAGCGTGTGAACATTTGTACGATGTCACGTTCTCACATGAGGACAGCGCAAGGGTAGAAATCGTTTCCGTGGAGACGGGATGTTGTTTTTGAGATACAAGATCTGCACAACTCCCCAATGTCGTCGTTGTCGTCAGAGAAGGTTCTATGGCGTCCAAAAGCGGCTGCAAACTTCCACCTCTGTTCTCGAAGACTGCAGACGCCCGCTGGAGTGAGTGGATGCCGTTCTCCAAACGTTTGTAGACCGGGGAGGAAGGCGGGGAAGGAATGATGGAAGCTGGCCGAGGCAGCAACACGACTGGGGGTCTGGCTCGAACGATTGTCAGGTCGTCTGACCGCTTGGTCACACCAGTGACGTCAGCATCTAGACTAGTCACCACGCCTGAGGTACGCTTCATGCGGAACATCTGTCGGAAATGCTTCCTGAACGGTCTGCTGAACAAGCAGTAGACGATAGGATTGAGAGCATTGGCTCCAAAAGAGAAAAGCAATGCAATTGTCCCGCGGTCTATGACGTCTCCCAAAGGAACTTGCCCGTCGTTAAAGTCTTCCGCCAGATGATACAGATGCATTGGGAGCCATCCGATAGCAAAGACGACTGTGATAGCAAACACAATGATTGTAACACGCTTCCTTTCACGCATACCCAGAACGCCGACGTGAGGTCTTCCGGAAGTGGATCCAGCCTGGTGTCCAGGACGCCTGCTGGTCCACAATTTGAGGCCAATGCGGAAGTGACAAAAAGCCAGGATCAGCTGTGGGATGAGGTACAGAATGACAAAGTTGGAGGCTGTGTCAATTTGCTTGAGCCGTAGATCGTTGTTCCGTCCACAGAGAGTTATGACGCCACTGGTGTCGAAGGCGGTCACCTCCTGGAAGAGCAGGCTCCTGGGCACCATGATGGCCAGGGAGACAAGCCAGACAATGAGAATGACAATGCATGCCACCTTGGGCGTCCTGAAATGTCATAAAAAGAGAAACAACTTTACACTATTTGCTGCAGTGCTCAGATTGATTCAGCAACGACCTAGAGAAGAAAACAGAAGCCCACTGCTGTCTGTGGTGTAGCGGTTCGACGTTTTGCAAGAGACCAGTGGGGGGGGAATTTTATCGAGTATATCGGTCTTTCTGCTGTTATGTTGTATCCCTCTCACCCCGGGTTGACCGTAATAGGTATCCCCGATTATTTTAATTGTGTCAGTGGGGACGTAAAAACACCAATATTTAATATTTTAAAACAATAGCACTGAGATTACAAACTACAACAATGTGATACAGAACCAGACAAACAATTTCAAATAACAGTGCACTTCCGTTGCTAAGATTCATTAACATTTCTTTCATTTGTTGTTTAATGCCTTCCTTAATATAACTAACCACAGAGGTCTGTTGTCTAAAAGCTATGGCCAGCCAGCTGTTCAGATGCACTAAGCCTAAAAGTTTTATTTTTAATTATTGCTTTTTTCTGTGGCTTCAGTTACTTGTGCTCAGGATAAGATATATATTTTGTCAAAATGCAATTGCTTGATTATCTTTTAAAAACAAAAGACAAATACTTAAAGGTAAGTACTGTACTGTTGTTAAGAGAATGAAACAGTTTGTTCTCTCTTCTTACAAACATTGATAACTGATCTCAACATTGCTTGATAGTCTTTGTTTGTTTTTCCACAACTTGCTGCCATGTTGAAGGCAAACTTGGCGTTCACAGAATGCCACAACACCACCATCAAACAGCATCATCATCATCCTCATCACCACCACCTTCAACAACAAGAACAAACACAAAAACAACAACAACAACAAAAACAACAACAAAACACAAACAAGCGTTACCTACATAAAATACCAATGTCAGAACAAAAGGGTTAAGACTGAAAAATCTGGCTGTGTGTGTGTGTGTGTGTGTGTGTGTGTGTGTGTGTGTGTGTGTGTGTGTGTGTGTGTGTGTCTACTGTCTGTGGATCCTGCTGACCTACCTGAGAGAACGCGACCTCACGGGGTAAATGACGGCAATGTAGCGGTCAAGGAGACTGGCTGCAACCAGCGTCAAAACACTGACCGACTTGCTGACTCCCATTACATAATTCTCCACTTTACCTGGGGACAGACGACAAAACAGTACGTTAGTTAGTTAGTTTGTTTGTTTTTTTGTTTGTTTGTTTGTTTGTTTGTTTGTTTGTTTGTTTGTTTGTTTGCTTATTTTGTATAGAAAGAAGTACATTGACGCGATGAAGGCAATTCAGTAGTAGGAAAAAGCGTTGGGGTAGACAGAATGAAACAGCAAGGGGGAAAGAAGAAAAGTATTAACCGCAATGGATGTCCTCCAAGGACGTTTTGTTGCGCTTTGTTCTGTTCGTCGGGAGTTTTTTTGTTTTTGTTTTTGTTTTGGGGTTTTTTTTAGTAGGGGAGGGGAAGGGGGTTAACATGTGAGTTATTTGGTCGGTTGTTTGATTAGCAGGTAAATAGGTAGATGTTTTGTTTTGTGCTAGTAAAGACATTATAAACACAAGTGGAGGACATAGCGAAGGATAAAAGAAGGAAAGAACGTGCATATCATAAGTCTATGCCTGAGTACAACTATTAGCTACCTATATTGTGCTTTTAACATCAGACGGTTTGCATCTAGCATTTACACAAACACACATTAAAACACACACACATACACATACACACACGCACACACAAACACACACACACACATATACACACACACATACACACACACACACACACACACACACACGTATCTACTTCGTGCTGACCTCAACCTTCCTTTCTTCCAACTTACAAAAGACTATGCTTTTTCCCATTCCTCTCAAATCATATTTTTTTTAATCAAAAATTATGTTTAATTCTCTTAACACGTAGATGCAATCGAGGAAATTGGGAAACATTGCACAAACGCATGAACAAAACCGAAGAAAATACAACCTCGAAAAAAAATAATAACCTAAAAAGTGAAGAAGGGACGCACACACACACACACACACACACACACACGCACACACACACACACACACACACACACACACACACACACACACACACACACACACACACACACACACACACACACATAAGCGCGCGCAACTGGCGTCTGTGGAGTAGCGGTCACAGGACCTGAGTTCGATTTTCGTGTGAGGAAAATTTTCCTCCAGTATCTCGTTCTTTCTGCGGAGACAATGTCTCCCTCTCAATCCGGGTTGAGCCTGACTGGCAGATTTGAAGCCCGTGTCGTAGATGATCTAATTTATTTTTTTTTTATAGTAGAGGGTTTTACGGTGCTCGAAACTGCATAAGGTCATGAGCGCGCGGGACACACCTAATACTTTTAGTTGGTAGGAAATTTTGAATTTTGCCCGGGTGGCCACCGAAGCCTACTCTTATCGATTTTAGACCACCAGGGGATCTTTAACGTGTGCAACTTGCACACGAGTCCTCCGAGATTTTTCGCCCTTGTCCAAGATGGCTAGGTGTAGATCTTTCCTGCCAGAAGATCAGGGGTGTGGCAGAAAGAAAGCTGTAAGAAGGAGTCAAGGAGTAGCAGTAGAAAGGCTGCAGAAAGAGTCAGGAGCCCAGAGGAGGGGGCAAAGGAGGTGAGGGGGTGGTGGCAGAAAGAGGAGACGAAAGCAGACGACAGAATATTGCTAGAGAGCAGGAAAGGGGGTGAACGGAGACAATAGTAGAGAAGAAATGTTTTCGGTCGCTACACGGATTCGAACCTGGTACCTTTGAATGTGAGGTCAACACTTAACTTCTAGGCCACGAGAGCCCCCAGATGATCTAAAGTACATCGATGGGGGGCGTAAAACTTCTAGTATACATTTAAATGCACACTGATGTACACTTTACATACACTGTATACAATCTATACAACTGTTCTTGTCACGTAATATCCTTTTTCACGCTGCCTTGATGTCCTTACTTGGATTCTAAATGTATGATGTTCTTAAAATTTAGCCCTGTTGTTGCTCTGCATCGTTCTGATTTCTATGCTCCTGTTCTTAACTATATTGTTCTTTACTCTTGGGCTGTACTCTGTGTGTGTGTGTATGTGTGTGTGTGTGTGTGTGTGTGTGTGTGTGTGTGTGTGTGTGTGTGTGTGTGTGTGTGCGCGAGAGAGACACACATAGAGAGTGAGAGAGAGAGGGGGGGGAGGGGGCAGGACGGAGGGGAGGAGGGCGATTATGTATAACGCTTGCAATGAGAAAAGAAGTTGCTCCTGGCGTAGCTTTTTAACCTTGGTGGCATTCACATGGATTTTAGGAAGACAGCTAAGACAATGTTTGGAATGTAAACGCACCCTTAACCTTTGTACTGACAGCGACCTTGTCGGTACAGAGGGGCAAACAGTGAAGAAACGAAACTGTTTCGGAAATACAGGGATTTGGAAAGGAGGCAGGCGGCGAGCATTCTTCAATGTTCTGTGGTCTCTTTCATCGTAGTCGAGAATGCATGCTATATGCTAGAGTTTCTGTGAGATTGTTTTTGTTCATCAGGGTGTTCTAACCTATACTCGGTAGTGCTGGGCGGCTAGGTTCCCGATTATTGAAAGCTTGGAATCGTAGGAATCGACTTCGAACCCAATTACTTACTTTCTAATAATGTGGTTTCTTCTGGTGGTTACCTGGTTGGCTCCGAACATCTTCAGGATTTAGGATAACCTTGATTTCGGAACACTACAAGGAATCAAATTATTTTTTTTTTAATTTAAAAAAAAAGGGGGGGGGGGAATGTAATGACTTAAGTTACTGGTAACAGTTGGTTTATGTACAAAGGAGTCGGAACCTTTCCTCCGTCGCATTAATCATGGGAATCGGTTCCGGAATTGATTCTTCGCCCAGCTCTAATTACTCGGCAAGTCTTATCGCAGAGTGGCGATAAAGCATTGAAGCCACCAATGGAATTTATAGAGCTAACCAGAACCAAGCAGTTTAACGATACAAGGATGTAGCGGAAATAATCATATATTATTATGACCGACAGTGGTAGACTAAAGGCCGTGTTGTTGCACCAAATCATGTGTATCTGTGTTGCTGCCTGTCCTTTTAGGTTTCAGATGCAGAAAGCAGGAATTGAAAAATCTGTATGAATAGAGAACTAAATACTTAAAGCACCCCCACCCCTCCTTTCCAAATACCTTGTCTTCTTCAAGCGTTGCTGAATTTCAGAATAAGTGTCTCTTTTGCTTCTCATACAATGACCACGTCACAAATGAGAACGTGCTCGGTACAGTGAAACAACACATGAGTAACTAAGATGACTTGCTGTCTACTGTGAAGTGAAAAAAACGGAATTGTTATGGCTATGTAACAAGATTATGTGGCCTTTTCAAAAACCATTCTTTGGGTAACTGTGCAGGAGAGGAAAAGGAGAGGAAGACAAAGGAAGAGGTGGACTGACACCATTTTGGGGTGGACAAGAAATCCTTCTCCCAAACTCAGGCGCTCGCAAAAAACTGACATAAGGACACTACCCTCATCCCCCCCTCCCCCCCCCCCCCCCAAAAGCGTGCCCGACATGGGAAAGATGTTTTCTTTTTTTTTATAAACAGGCAGCCACTGTCACCCCTTCCAGTTGGTTAATCTGGGAGACAGCATCCAATTACAATGATGGAGATAACAAACAATTGAAAGGAGGGGGGGGTGGGGCTGGTTGTGCCTTAAATTAAACAAGCTAAACGTTTAGACCCAAAGATGTCCTGTCTCCTTCGAGTGTTGAATTCTTTAAAATGTTGCGTTCTGCGTGTACTATTGGCGTAGTAATTTAGTGGTTATTTTAGACAGGTTTCATCTATTTACGCAATTATTGGGCTGCACATTGTGTGCGGGGGGGGGGGGGGGGGCGGGGATTTGTAGGAAAAAAATATGGTATTAAGATCACCAGTTTTTCCTTTGCCATCTTCAATGTCTTCTCCTCGTGGAAATCGAGCTCACATCTTTTTGCTTGCAAGCACGAAGAAGACCCCTACCCAGAGCCTCTATAACGTCGGACATGATAGGGAGAACACACATGACGGTTATTTGACAATGCTAGAAGTCAGGTAGTTTTGGGGAACTTCAGTAACTTCCTCAAATTTAGATCTATACTGATATTGCCATTTATTTTTCCTTTACCTGAAGCCTTAACAGGCCAAAAATAACAAGCTAACTGCTGTGAAATATTACAAATTTGTGTTTCTGATTTGTGTTTTTGCTTTAGTTTAGGTAAGTGTTTTACAGCGCTCGCAACTGCATAAGGGATTCTGCTTTGTGTATGGTCGTTCGATTGTACAACAGAATGGGTGTTGGTCTGCTTTCTGACACATGAGCCCGGTATGTCCATAAAGAATACAGCTCAGTACTCGAAACACTATGGGTATTTCTTACTATCTATACCTTGCAGTTTGGCGTTTAATGTTCAATAAAGCTAATAAATTTTCGGTCAAGAAGATGCTGTAACTTTAAATGAATGAATACAGACTGTTAACAATTCGCTACCATATAATTTAAAAGTTTTATCTGATATTTTTGTCGTTTTTGGGTTACTAAATGAGATCAGAGATCAAATGCTCAATCTCATCTAGATTATTCAGAGTCGTTATCAAGATATTCTAAGAATTGCATTTTTAAAAAGCTTGACACATTGTGAAACTCAAAATTGTTCACGCCAGATTTCTCAGAACTAGACACTGAGCAGATAGAACTTTGTCATATTAGGGCAACGAATTATTCATCCACCATTTTGTGAGCGGCAATGCCTGCGTTCTTCACTTTCCCCTGCTTATAGAAAGTTATTGAAGACAATTTTAACCTCACAACAATAAATTGTCAATAACTTTCCTAAAACAGTACTTCTTTGAGACATATTATTGCCTCAAAAGGATTCAGTACGGAAGAGTGTGATAAGCTGACAAACACTCTCTTCAAAATTGTGGAGGAAATTATCAATAAAAAAGCCTTAGGGATGTAATTTAAATTAGCCTATTAGTCTACTTTCAAGATTGTAGTCATTTCCGTTGCAACTGCAGCAAACTGACATACACATTCGGGCTTTTGTCAAGATTCCACTATATCTTAGCTGTATATAGTTTAAAACATGAAACACTCCTGTGATGG